TCAGTTGGTCGGCCAGTCGGTCGATACATCAGTCAGTCATTTATTCACTTCATCCATCAATCAGGAAATCAGTCAGTTGGTCGGCCAGTCGGTCGGTGCATCAGTCAGTCATTTATTCACTTCATCCATCAATCAGGAAATCAGTCAGTTGGTCGGCCAGTCGGTCGGTACATCAGTCAGCCATTTATTCACTTCATCCATCAATCAGGAAATCAGTCAGTTAGTCGGCCAGTCGGTCGGTACATCAGTCATTCATTTATTCAGTTCATCCGTCAATCAGTCAGTTGGTCAATCAGTTGGTCTTCCTACCGGTTGGTCAATCAGTATGATCCATACTTACCAGGAAACCTGTAAAGGTTCTATAGTAAGGATCCAGTAATATTTGAGCTAATGACGTCAGTTGTGACGTACGATCCCAACCATCACTGCAGTGTACTAAAGCAGACACGCCTTTCTCGATGAACCGAGCTATCGTTGTCGCGCCCTGAAAAAAACATTAACAAATTGACATCAGTTGTTTTATGTGTCTGTCCTCTTATTGACGATAAATTGCGTCATCACGTTGTCAAAGTAGTTCGGATTCACAAGGCGTAGCCATAACGTTGGGTGTAACTTTTTTATCTCAGATCACATGTCATTCCCTAAAGTATCATTTCTTTGTTTAATGGTTATGTATGAGAAACGTATGAATATGGGTAAGACTAAAATAAGAATCTTATTCTCGAGAGAATGACACATGGTCTGAGATGGGAAAACATTACGCCCAARATTGTTGAACAAAGTAATAATATACAAGGGAATGACACGTGGTCTGAAAAGGGAGTGCATCGCAGTCAAAGGTAAAGTCTCTATGGAAGGAATACAAAAAATCCAGGAAAGAAAGAATGCGCGCATGAAAGAACGAAAGTACGAACAAAGAAAAAAGAAACATGAACACATATAAACACACGCACACGAAGGGGGGAAAGACAGAGAAATAGCTAAAGCTCTTGAAGAACTGAAGTGCGCACCTAGCTTCTTGGGGTAGAGAGGGAGGTAGGAAGGGATAACAGTAGGGAAATACTATAAAGAAAAACTATTACGAAGCAATAGAAGTGCAAGTATTAATACTATACCTTCAGGATAGCAGCAATATAAGCCAACCATTGCGTCGATTCCAAATGTGACAGCCATTTCTTCTGTGACGATGACTCGCACACACCCTGCAGCCTCTCGATGCTGTCTCTTACAGCATGTATGTTGGGGATGTCCAGATAGACCAGGGTACAGCCCTGGTATCGGTTCACGGTATCTTCTGTTCCTTTACCCTACATAAATATGGACGAAAAAAATGTTGAGGATCCCGAATGTCTAAATTAACTCAGGAATCCCAAACTGGGAAGAATAATCTCACCATTAGCATATTCCCACTAGCAGCCATCAAAGAGCGCGCGTCAAAGATCACTAGTCTATCAGAGATTGGATTACACTTGCGTGCTGCTCTGATCACATACTCATCTTCTGTTGAGAACTGGGGAAAAAGTATAGATAATTAGTTATCGCGATTCATTCTCACAAAGACTACCTAACCTTAGCAATGGCGACACGAGTGAAAAACGTCTGCGCATGCTCTGAATCCGTATGCAAATTAGTCGAAACATAAGTATTGATTTTCAAACATGCCTTATAAATTGGACTTCACAAAACGCCAAAACTCAGTACTATGCTTGAAAATTGGTGCTGAAGGTGCTATTGGTTCTGCTGCTACTATTACTACTAATCATCATTAAAAAAATTAATCTAAAAAAACCGTGTCTTACTTTTCCCATGGCTCCTGTCTTTGGCTGCGCACAGCGCATAATGAAATTTCCTTTCTTAGAATTGAACCATGAAAGAGCAGCAATACGACCCTGAAACAAATAAAGAATAAGTCTCCTCAATCATTCCCACAAACCTTTGCACCATGAGGTCTTCCAGTCTTCTTTTGAGCATCTGAGAGCTGAAGCATTTTAGTGTATTCGTTAGCCTGGGTTGCAAGGAACTCTAACTCCAGTACTTCTCTTTGGGCCCTGGTGCTAGAGGACCTCTGCCACCCCGGGTACTCTACTGTGCCACCTTACTGTGCCGCCCAGGGTACTCTACTGTGCCGCCCAGGGTACTCTACTGTGCCGCCCAGGGTACTCTACTGTGCC